CTTCCAAGTTGACTGGATGGGTGACTAATTACTGCCAATGGATGAGGTGCAATGGTCTGCTCATCGCACCAAAGGCAAAAATACTGTCTATTGGGTAAATACTATCAGCACAAAAACCTGGCATCTGTATTTTGATTAGTTTTTCAATGTAATTTTTTGTGTGTTTTTATATATTCACAGTGCCTGACTAGCACAAGTAGCTAATCAAAAGTAGCCCTCTGAAAATGAAAAGTTCTGCACTAAAGAGTAATAGGTTGACCTGGTAGAAAACCTAGCAGTTAATAAGATCATCTGAGTTTGATCTCCAGTCACTCTATATTTGTCCAGGGGTGATGCTGAGAAACTAGTCCATGCATTTGTTACTTCAAGGCTGGACTATTGTAATTCTTTACTATCAGGAAGTCCACAAACTGTAGTTAAAAGCCTTCAGCTGATCCAAAATGCTGCAGCCAGAGTTCTGATGGAAATTAAAAAGAGACATCATATCTCTCCTATCCTGGCTTCTCTTCATTGGCTTCCTGTTAAATCCAGAATAGAGTTTAAAATCCTCCTTCTCACATATAAAGCCTTAAATGGCCAAGCTCCATCTGATATCAGAGATCTGATTGTTCCTTATGTTCCTAACAGAGCACTTTGCTCTCAATCTGCAGGTTTACTAGTGGTTCCTAGAATTTCTAAAAGTAGAATGGGAGGCAGATCTTTTAGTTATCAGGCTCCTCTCCTGTGGAACCAACTACCAGTTTTAGTCCGTGAGGCAGACACCCTGTCTACTTTTAAGGCTAGGCTTAAAACTTTCCTTTTTGATTAAGCTTATAGTTAGGGTGGCTCAGGTTATCCTGAGCTATCTCTATAGTTATGCTGCTATAGGCTTAGACTGCTGGAGGACATAGGGACCCCTATTTCATCACTTTGCTTCATTCTATCTCTATTCTAGAATCTGTTAGTTCAATCTCTAACGTTCTGCTCTCTCTGCTTTTTCTCATAGTAGCTTCATCTGGTCTGTTCCTGTTTGGCTGTGACTCCATCCTGGAGAGAAACATCAGCTGTGCTGCTGCCATCAACACCTTTGTTTATAGTTGTTGGAGATCAGCCTGTTTTTTCCAGTGTAGTCCTGTTTCTCTGACTGTGACTGACTGGATGTGCTCTCTTCGTCCTCTGGCATGGGAGCTGGCTCGGAGCTCGTCTGCCTGGCTGTGTGTTTCCTGGATGGGGCCGCCTTTTACAGCTTCTTTTTGTATCTCTGCTTCCGTCTCCTTGAACCCCAGTCGGCCTCAGCAGATGGCCGCTCACACTGAGCCTGGTTCTGCTGGAGGTTTCTTCCTGTTAAAAGGGAGTTTTTCCTCTCCACTGTCGCTACAAGCATGCTTAGTGTGAGGGATTGCCTTTTAGTCAACGAGTCGATGCAATCAACTGGTTTTCCTTAGTTAGAAAACTTTGAATCAATTTGACTGAATGATCTGGTGAACTGGAAAGTGCCTTGAGATGACCTGTGTTGTGAATTGGCGCTATAGAAATAAACTCAATTGAACCCCTTAACAGCCCAGGTGTATATTTCTAATTTTCTAGTGTATTAAGTGATTTTGCAGTATTTTACATTTATGGCTGAACTGCAGGAAAAGAGAGAGATATCTGTCCTTTCTGCTCCTCAATCAATAAAACTCCACCTCCATGTAGTAGATTCACTGCAAAATCAGATGCAATACAAGCAGAATACGCCTCCTCATTGATGGAGTGTCATGTCTGAGCTTTTTAAACATGAGAGAAACTGAAACCTGAGTGCAGAGCCAGTCCCAATGAGCAGGAAACTTGCACAGCAGCTTCTGTGGCTGAAGTTTTATGCCTGAAAATACACTTTTTCTCAACATTTGGTAGGTTTTCAGGAGTAGCTTTTCAGCAGCCCCTTAGCTGCTTAAACTAGTAACCTAATCTGATTTCAAATATGTTCTAAATAGAATCAAAATTTAGGGTTTTAGCTTTGATACTTGACTATTTATAAACTGTTTTCACTCCCACTTTTAAGAAGAGGTTACACCAAATTTCCACATTTTTTTTTTAGCTTTATAAGGATTAATGGAAATCAAAAATCATGTCAAGGAGTTTCCAGGACATTAAATTATTCAAATTGGGCTAATTACAAAGACCATGGAAAACAGTAATTAATTCTCATTAATTTCTAGTTTAGGGAGTGTAATGTTTAAAGCTAATGAGGGCTAAGATGATTTCCAATAAACTATAGATTATCAGTAATGATTTGTCATAAAAACCTGGTTTTTGTGGTCTTGAAACAGAATTTAAGAAACTCTTACAGAGACGTAAGTGACCACAGCAAGATGAAGCAATAGATACAAGTCTCTATCCTGCTCATAAAATATGTAGAAAACAACCCAAACAGGATTAACTGGGATAAGCAGTCACACGACACGAACAATCAGGATAATCAGAAATATTCTGGCTTTAGGTTACTTTTCAATGCTGTACCCACAAAATTTTGAAAATTTAAAAAGAAAAACAAGCTTTGGTACAGAGTGGTTCAATATGTTTAAAAATGAAGCAGAAAACACCAAGCGGACGGGACGTTCTACATCTTTTATTTGTGCTTCCGAGTCTCTGCAGTAACGTCAATGCATAATGTTAGCTGAGAGATCAGCGGTTGGTCTCCCTGACTTATTTGTGGCTTAGACTCAACACAACTTGGATTTATTTGACTGTGAGAGAAAGTAATCAAACTATACAAACTACTCTTCTTTTTCAGAGTAACTAATAAAAACTAGTGCATTCATTTTTTATATAAAGTCCTTTTAAGTAACCCTTAAAAATAATTGAAAAATTCTTCATATCCTAAAAGTTCAAATAATTATTAAAAGTAGAGATCACATTTCTTATAATTAAGCATCATTCACTGGACCCTGTAAACAAAGAACAAAATGTAAAGCCCTTAATGATCAAATTCCATCAAACATCTGAGATCTAATTGTCCTTATTTTTTTCTAACAGAGTGTTTTGCTCTCAGATGCAGGTGTACTGGCAGTTCCATGGGTTCCTAAGCGTAGAATAGGAGGTAGATCTTTTAGTTGTTAAGCTCCACCTTTAAGACTAGGGTAGGTATACAACTTTCCTTGTTGATTAAGCATATTGTTGAGTGGCTCAGTTTACCTTTAGCTATCTCTGTAGTTATAAAGCTTAAGCACAAGTTTTGAACCTGAAAGATTCCTTAGCAGCCTCACCTGGACCACCTGCTGTCGTGTCTTGCTCAAGCTTCACCCAGTCGACAGTGGACTACAGCCCCCCAAAAGCAAATCATCAATCAAGACACTCTTCATTAAGAAGGCCCAGCTTCCCATTTAGTGCATCAGCCAAACTATCACCCATGTCCTCCCTCACTCTTTGACTATTCTTAGACCTCCTGCTACCATCCTCTGGCTCACTCCACCACCAGTGTCCAGGTCCCGGGGGAAAGACTATTGTAATCCTCTTCTAAAGTTATTCATCTAAGCTCATGCCAACTCACAGCATCATGTCTTCTGCTGAGGTCCAACAGCCAAAGAGCTCATTAATTAATGTCAATAAAATCTTTCTAACTGCTTCTTTTCTCTGTGTGAGTTTCTCCAGGTTGAAATGCTGCTATAGGCATAGGCTGCCGGAGGACCTAAAAACCCCTTTCCTTACATTGCTACATTCTCCTACTACAATCCTACTACAATTCTCAAATGTCTGATAGTAAAGACAAGTCCCTAATGTAGACAAGCAAAAATGCTCGGCCTTTATCAGAGTCTCATCCTTTCTTAGACCTTCACCCGAGCAAATCCCTACCTCTTGTTAACTCAACTGAAGTCAAGAACAACAGCTTTTCCCACAAGTTTTCAAGCAGACACCAGTCCTGTCATTTTATGTAGACAATTATGCCCATTTATGCCTCACAAACACCACCAACATTATTAGTATGATGTCTGAATATACATATTGTTTTTTGAAATATCTTTTTGTGATGAAGACAAAGAAATTAGTTTATTATCGTGATTTTGTTTATTTGCCAGACAAATCTTTCCCTTTGCCAATCTGATATACCACAGACACAATTAGAAAACCAATAAACTTAGGGTGTCCAGGCATCATGCGGGGGTAAGTGGCCAATGGTGAGATCTCCACATAATTTTTTGTTCTATGACCTTTAAATGTAGCTTTTATTTTATAAAATGTCTAGACTTGTAGGTATTTATAATTTGAAAGTACATTTGATCAGTATTGTGTGTTCTGTTAAAATGAGGATTACATTTACAGTCAGGCAAGAAAACTCACCGAATATTCAATCAGGATTCAACCAGAGAATGAAAAGTCAAACAAAAAAACGATCGAATCAAATGCATCTGACTGTGAACTGACACTAGATAATCATTTAGAAGCATTTTCCTGTTTATGTGTTCATTCCTCCTGTCCTTTTTTTATTTAGTAAGTGCACACAGATTGTGTGAATTTTTCTCCATCAATCATTTTCTGCAGAGGAGGTGTCAACTTGTAGAGAAGGCAAATCAATACGGCAAATCCAGCAGACAGAATCTCAGCACTGAAGCTCAATGTGCATCAGCAGACGTGAGAGCTTGTTAATTGCTTTCAAGGTAAAACAATACACTAAAATAAGCACATAGGGTATTTGTTTTTCCACCCTCTCCAGTCTACCTCGGAGAAAGTCAATAATAAACTCAGTTTTTTGTCATAATTAAATTTTGTTCAGATGAAGTCATAATAAATAGAGCAAAAAACAGAACCAGTGTGTTTCATATTCACCCACTTTAACTCTGCAGGACTTTTAAAAGGGACAATTTTTTTTAACTGCACATTATTTAAAAAGAGCTTTAAAACCTTGAAGATTAAATATTTTCATGAGGAAAGCTCCAAAATAAGGACGCTAAATAATTTACTTTAGATTAAGAAATCAACTATCAGTAAATATAAATGAAAAAAACATATTAAAAGTAACATAAGCCTAGATTTTACAATCCTACCTTGTAGACCTGTCCATAGGTGCCATTTCCAACCAGTTCGACCAGCTCAAAGATCCCAGCTGGGTCCTGAAAACGAGGGAAAAAAGAGCCGAATGATGAGCAAGAACAGTGAAAAACAGCAGAGCCTGTCAGAAGAACATAAGACCTGAATGGGTAGAAGACAGCGAAGGAATTTTAAAATGCATTTGACCTTCACACACAAACACGCCTTCTTTAAAGGGCTGAGTGAGCTCGGCATACCTGATGTATTACCTCGTAAAATCCTCCCTATATCACCACAGTCGTTCCCTCACAAGGAAACCTTTTCATTCTCAATCACAACTCATCACATACAGTCTTAAACCAGGAGCAGACGTCTAATATGAATTATCATTTTTCATCATAAAGGAGTGGAATAAAAGCTACTTGAATAAGGCAAGGTGCCCATAATACCAGACCAAAATGTTTTCTACTGCTGTAACATTTAAATGACTCACATCTATGATTATTTAACAATAAAAAGAGGCATTTAATAGCATAGATTAATGTGTTTTTGTGACGCATGTAAAAATATATAAACAAAGCCTTTGTGAATCTGAAATGTATAGATAATGCATTATCATCTCCAACATTTTGTCCTTTATTTGGGTTATCAAAGCTCGACCTGTGTGTCAGTCCATGTGATGTGACAATCTTCAGCTTGTGTTAAAACAGCACATCACATTTGATTAGATTTAAATCTTTGTTTTAAATTCATCAATCCATTTTGGGATAAGCGTGATCGGACAACGGGGTGCTGGTGCCTATCTCCAGCTGTCAATGAGCCAAAGAAGGGGTACAGCCAGGACAGATCACTAGTCCATCGCAGGGCAACATGGAGACAAACAGGACAAAACCATTCACACACAAGGGGACTTTAGAGAAGCCAATTAACCTGACAGTCATGTTTTTGGACTGTGGGATTAAGCCGGAGTACCCGGAGAGAACCCACGCATGCTCAAAGAGAACATGTACATTGCAAAAAAATTTAAATCTTAATAAGTAATTCTTTCTTAAAATAAGTGCATTTTTTTCTTGAATTGAGGAGGTAAGTGAGACACTTTGCCAATGGAACAAGATAATTTACATTTAAAATAAGAAAAAAACTATTGCATTAACTTATTTCAAGTGAATTTTATCTAACTGTCTCATTTTAAGAGTAAAAATACCCATTCCATTGGCAAATCCTCTTACTTACCTACTCAAATTAAGGGTAAATACACTTAATTTAGGAAATCTTTACTTATTTCTAGATCGTTTTTGCAGTACAAACTCCATGCAGGAAGAACCCGGAACCTTCTAGCTGCAAGGAACCAGTGCTACCCACTACGCTACTGAGCAGACCAATCTTTGTTTAAATATAACATCTAAATTAGCAGCTAAATTAGCTAAATAGCTAAATGCTTATTTTATACAACATCTGTGAAATCAGTGCATCAATATTTATACTCCTGAGCTTGCCTGATGTACCATCATGGCATAAATCGACCAGATCATGAGCAAAGTAATCAACTCTGCGATGTTTTATTGCATTACAAAAACACCTAAATCTGTCTGTATGTAGCACAGATAACACTAGCTGATAGCCTGAGCTAAAGCTGGTATTTTTTCTTGCATTGTTTAATTCAAACATTTACTTCTCTGACAAATATATGTGTACTAGGCTTTGATAAAATAAGGATTTGCTATCTAGCCCCCCTTGAAGGATGCACGGATGGACAGACACACTACATTACTTCGATCTAAATTGATTCTGGTTTTATTACAGTGTAATCCAGGTTCTGCCAGGTTTTCCACTGGTTATGATCCATCATGAAAGCAAAATAACCTCCTTCTGGCGGTTTTCAGCGTGAGCCCAAATCATTTTAAATCAGAAATTCAGGAACAATACTACCAAAACTACAGGCTTGATAGATTCAGTTTAGGCAGCCGGACGTGAAGTTTAGAGTTTAATCTCAGTGATCCCCACCAGTTAGAATTGGAAAAGCCTCTTGGATGGGAGGCGAAACATCTTCTAGAAAACTTTATATCCAGTTGCCTAGAATGAACTTTCCCAGCTTGACCATGACCTAGAGGACTGAGAATCTTCACAGATAAACCAAAACTATACAGTCATATCATATCACAAAGGGATAACATAACAAGCACCCATTTATAGGCTTTTGGAAACTACACTGCAAAAGCCATCTAGAAATTAGTAAAAATGTCCTAAATTAATGTATTTAGCGTTAATTTAAGCCAGTTAATAAGATGATTTTCCAATAAAATTAGTATTTTTACTCTTAAAATAAAATAATTAGATAAAATGCACTTGAAATGAGACAAAGCAACCAACGTGTCTCCCTTTCCTCCTCAATTCAAGAAAAAATGCACTTATTTTTAGAAAAAATGACTTATTAAGATTTATATTTTTTGCAGTGTATGATTGCTTAAAGGTCATAGGAAAACCTTTTTCATCCAAACGATACATTTTTGCAGGTTTTTTAGGGTTAGTTCTGATTTAAGGAAACAAAGGGGCTCAGAACCACAGAGTTGGCTGCTTCCCTTTTGGACAGTAAATGTTTACTAATGCGAACCAAAGTGTAGCAGGCCTGTTGCTGCACATTTGTCTGGTTCTTATGAAAGGAAGTTACCATGAAAGGATTTAGATAAGTTTTTAGTCTGCTGTCAACACTGTAGCAGCTGCTTTTTAGTTAGCATGGAGGAGTTAAACTACTAACTATCTCCTCTAAATAGACTATTCAGATTCATTTGGAGTTTTCTAAGTTACAATTTTTCCTTTGGGCTTGAATATTAAGTTTCCCTCCACAGAATGGACGTCTATTTTACAGCTGTTTCTCTTTTAGGTGGTCCATATTTATTCAAGAAACTATGCAGTAAATAACTTTTTTTTAGCAAATTTGTTTCAAGTAAATTAGCTTAGAAGACAAAAAACATGAAATTAAGCTTGGAAATCAACTTTTCAGGCCGTTTCACCATGTTTAACCTTTGTTTATTCTGAAGGTGACATCAACGTCTATGGTACTACTTCAAAACACATAAAAGGCTGTCATACTTTCAGAAGAAATACATTACCAAAGTAAAATTTAAAATTATAAGGTCAAAAGTGGTATGTTTTTAACTCATGTACATGTATTTCATAGTTAAAATAAACGTTTGTTGTTTTGAGGTTCCGGTATTTAGTTTATTAGACTATAGCCCCATTTACACTATCCTCTGAAACGGATCTGTACCGAGCTCGGATCAGTTGACCGTGCCGAGCTTGGTTCCTTAGGACCGATTAAACATCATGCTAGCGCGGTTCCTCGCCTCCTAGGGACGCTCTACGGTACTACTGCTCTCTAGAGGGAAACAAGCGAACCATGGCGGCGCCCGTAACATTCAGGAAGTTTGCGGAGAGTCAGGCACAGAATGCAGTCTTTGGTGAATTTATTTGACAGAGTCAGCTTTAGGGAAGTGGATACGACAAACAATAATCTAATCATGGCTTACAGACGCAGGAAACAATGACAGACGTTGAGGTTCATCACACTGCTAAGCAGAATCATCACTGGAAATTTCATGATTACGGAGGCTGACTGTAAGGAGATGACACGGTCTGCTCATGTGCTCTTTGTTATCTGAGATCTGAGTCAAAACTGAACCTCACCAAGCCCTACTGATGAACTCAATGAGGTTATATTGGTTACCTTGCTTGGACGGATGTTGAAACAGATTCAAACCGGTAGTGTAAAGGGCTGGTTATACTCCTGCAGCAGTGTGTCACAAAGAGCATGTCGCAACTATGTCAAATATTTGATTTATGCCCAATATTGAGGCATAAATGTTGCTATTCAACACCATAACGCAAGAGGTACAATCAGGAACTAGCTGTGGGTCTAGATACGGCGGAGGTGGTGAGGAATTGGGGGCAAGTTTGCTCGACAACAGAGGGACATGAGGGCGAAAAAGAGCGGGGATCCAGGTGGAAAAAGGGTCCCAGGGTTCTCGTACACCTCGCTCTTCTAGCTGGTCCAACTTCACAAGTCATTTTCCACAATGGCGGTCATACAAACAAAATAAGCCGGTGAGGTACCAAACAGGAAATACACATAGTGTAGAGCGGATGTAGATTTGACCAATCAGAGGCCTCCTGTCTGCAGCAATATCTGCAATCACCTACAATTTTGGAGAGGTGTCTGCATTAAGTGCGAAACACAAGCAGAAGACCTGGTTTCTGAGCATAAACCAGCCTTATTTCCTCATGCAAATTTCATATGAACAGAATAAGGCTCCTTCACAATTACTGCAATGAAATGTTTTATATTTGATCCAAACATAAGGCAGATTAAATTAATCACTAAATATGTTGGGTGGTCTAGGCCAGAAGCATTAAGAGTTAAATTTTCCTACAGCAAAGATAAATATACTCCAAAAGGATGGGTTTTTCTAAACATTTCTAATCCGGCTTTTAAGCACAGAAAAAAACATCAGATGTCTGCAAGAAAACTCCACACACAGAAACACAAGCACTTAGTTTTGTCTTCAGGTTCATTAGAAATCACATAATCTCCCAAAACACAGATCTTAAAGTGTCTCCTAGGTGTGTGTGTGTGTGTGTGCTGGTACAGTGGCCCACAGGAGAGCGTTGGGACTATTACAGAGCATCCTCCTGAAAAGGATTAACTTAAAAAGCCACGTTCCTTTTCACTCAAGGTCAAACTCAAGCACATCAACTCCCGGAGGAGTGAATCTCACATGTACACCAATCCACATGAATCCACATGATCCACATGCACATCTGTTTACCTGTTAAATATTCTAAGAACGGTCAGATGGACCACAGGCAAGAAAAAAATAATAGAACTATATTTTTGTCAACTGTCTGCTACTAAGATTTCCCAACGACATGTAGGAAAGTGTGTCCAGACACTTCCATTGAATCTAGACACAGTTATCTATGACAGCTAACGGTGTCATTGTGTGGATTACATCATCGTTGTTCTCTCTTATTGACTCAGATCACTGGAAGATTACAGGTTAACTCACAACAAAAGACATGAGGATTC